TTGCCTATTCGCTCCCCCCCCTTGCTGCCTCTATCAGAAAGAAGCAGGAAGGGGGTGGAAGAAGAGGGGGTACTTCAAAGAGGCGCCGCCACACAGAGCCTGGGGCCAGACCCTGACCCATGCGGCGCCACCACTTTGAAACGCTGCGAGGAGCCTGACTCAGGGCTCCCTGTGGCGTTTCAAAATGGCAGCGCCACACCGAGACCTGGGTCAGCGGGAGAGTCCCCAGCTCACCCCGGGCTCCATGCGGCACTTTCCCCTTTGAAGTGTAGCAACAGCCTTAGGACTGTTGCTACACCCCAAAGGCAGAGGTGCCCTATTGACTAATCAAAGAGTCGATGCAAAATGCAACAACTCTTCGATTAGTGGATTAGTCGACATTTAACACCCGTATTCTGAAAGCGGACTGTAAGATTGGCATCGTGTGGCCCTGTAGCTTCAACTCAACTGTGTCAAGATTACACATGAAAAAGAAAAAAGCTGTTTTTAAATCTGCTCGGCCCGCTAATTCCCTGGGCACCTGAGAGTCAGGCTGAATTCTTTCCTTCTTGCATTTCATCACGAGGAATACAAGGGTCAGTCAAATCATGCCACGGTGACCCCTGGGTTCTCTTTTTCCAGTGTCACCGAGTCAAGCGTAAAGACGACTGTTGACACCTCAGGGAGGACAGACCTCCAGCTCCTTCTCCCCAGGCTAGGCTGGCACCGCTGGGCAACGGGAGGAAAGGCATTCAGCAAGGAGTGAGAAACATGCAGCGGGCGATCTGCTGAGTACGGCAGAGCCAGCGTTGGAGGAGAAGCACACATCTAGAGCTGTGCTGGCCACCAGCCCTTATAGCCAGGCGACTGGGGGCTTTTGCTTTGTATGTTTGAACTGTTGCAATTGTGTAACTTCCCTTGGCAACTTGCTCTACCAGCTGGATCCGCGCAGTGCGTTCCCAGGGGGCACACCCTCACACGTGGACCCACGTCAGGACACAGTGCCCTCCGATGTGCACGGAAGCCCAGGCCCAAGATCCGTTTCTTTCATAAGAAGTGCTTCTGACGCCTGCACCCTGGCAGCTAGGCTCACGCGTGGTATCGGTGGCACTGGGGGGCTGCTAGTAGTTCTGAGGAGCTACCAGCTGGAGGATCTTGCAGGAGGAAGGAAAATTCGCTGCTGCTTCTGCTGAATCGATGGTGGGATGGAGGGAGGAAGGAAGGGAGGAGCAATTCTTACAGCTTCCCCTGTACATTTTGCCAAGACTTCAGCATGGGCCCTGTCCCACACATGGAGATGGGAGACAGCTCCTGGCTGCATCTCCCCCATCCCCTGCCAACGCAGGGCTGCTCTCCGCCGGGAAGGACCTTGCACAATCTCAGCATCTGCCTGGCCTGCTTCCACTCCCCTCCCCGCCTGTGCCCCTGCAGCACTTCCCCATGGCTCAGCTGCTGTTGACCTCTACCACAACTGCGCCCTCCTCCCCTGCCTCTCCCGCACCCCGCTCTGTCAGCGGCCCCCATCTGCAGCAGAGGAGCCAAGGCCTCTGGTGCTGACAGAGGGGAGGGTCTTCTCCTTCTCCCCCCCACTCTCCTGGCTTGCTCTTTCTCGTCTGACGATCTTCACGGTTCCCTGCCCGGCGAGGACGCTGCTTTTATTTTTATTCCAAGGGAGCAGAGTCACCCGGAGCGGCTTCTGCTGCTTTCCATTCCCACCGTTTCTATCTTCTGGCTTCTCTCGAGTGTGACGTGGTGCCGGTCCCCCCGGTCAACCCCCCAACACGCAGCAGAGCCAGCGGGAAGCCTCCTTTTCCCTTCTGCTCCCTGCTTCCCCTGCCCTGTTCTCCGTGCTGCTAGCCCCAAGAGAAGATCAGACTGAGGTGCTGAGCTGCTGTGGTGAGGAGCACACTACCAAGTGAACGGCTGGGGACAGACCGGCTTGGAACAGGGCTCTCTGCTGCTCTACCCCACTGGGCGTGTGCGGACGGAGCGGAGAAGATGCAGGCTCATGGAAGAGGCCTCTCCTAAGTGTTGTCTGCTGCCAACATGCAGGTCAGGGACTCCGGTGAAGTGCAGCTGTTTACAAACACTTTTCCGTTTACTTCGATCCCTTTCTTTCTTCCCCCAGTTGCCAAGGGCTCTTCACTGCGCTCCCGGCCCAGTCCCAGCCACGCAAGCAAGGCTGTGAAAAAGCGGGCGCTGGGGAGGCAGCTGGCTAGACAGAGAGCGGAGGAATGCGTCACCTCCGGGAGCTGGCGTCGGAGCACATCAATCCGAGCCGCCTGTGAAATGGAAGGTCATGGACGCAAGGCGGTTCAAGGAGGGGGTGTCGGCTGACGGCCTGCGCTCGAGGGGTGCACCTGCTGCTTTCAGGGTGAAACATCTGTCCCCTTCCATTCATGTTCCGTGGCAAGACAAGGGGACTCCGGGCCTCTGTCACGAACAGCCCCTGCTTGGGAAACGCAGCCTTGCTCTGAGCAGACGCACTTTATTAGCAGGCCAGGACTTTCCTCCAGGGAAGGCTGCTGCTTTTACTTCTTCCTCTGCAGTGGCAGCCGCAGACAGGCTGGGCCTTTGCCTCTCCCAACCTCCAAAATGGCCGGCCCACTCCTGCGCCCCAGGAGAAGATGCTGCCGTGGAGCCCGTGCGGCGCCATCTCCCTGCAACAGTGAGAGGAGGCGAGGCCTGCGGGGCTACCCCAGGACAGCTGCAAATCAGCAAGGGGCACATAATGAACGCTGCGGCTCACGCCAGGCCCGCCTGGGGGCGTCTCCAAGAGCAGGTCACAGGCAAGGCTTGGGTTACTCTCTCAAATTCATTACAGGCACAAAACCAGCCCGCAGGACACGCTGCCACACGAGGAGCATGCGGTTGGCTTTGCTGCGCTTTTCCATGTGATGATTGACATCATCTTTATAAACATTCACTCACTTTCACGGTCTCTCTCTGGGACTCAGATAAGTAGTGTCCCTAATTTACAGATGGGAAACTGAGGCACAGAGCAGTGCAATGACTTTCCCAAGGTCAGTGAGTCAAAGAGAGCTTTGCTGCCCTGAGGCCCTGCTCTTACCACTACCCCCAACTACTTTCTCTTCCCTTCAGGAAATGCCAGTCTCTCTGCTAAGAGGAAGAGAGAAGGCGTCTTTTTTGCTCCACAAATGCGGAGTCTCAGAGTGGCCTTCAGCATCCTTGCAGCATGGAGGGCAGAAGACACTTCTTAGTTGTGGGTGCAGGCTGGCAGCTTTCAGAACTGTAGAGCACTCAGGAAAACAACCAGGAGCCCAACCTCACTGCAGCGAGAGAAAGTCCTGCCTCCTCCAGGGCTTGGTGTCGGCAACATGATCACCCCGCTGTGATATAAGCATCCCTCACACCCAGCTCTCTCTGAACCTGGGGCCCAGATCATCACCTGGCATTGCAATGGCAGGGCAAGACAGACTCTTGCCCCAAAGAGGGCTGCCATATGCCGCATCTCATGCCTGGCTCTCACCCTACTGGGGCAGCTTCGACCCTCCTGCACCGCTCCCGCTTCTGGATCACACAGGGGGAAGGAACAGCCAAGAGATGGCAGCAGCCAGTGGGGAAGGGAGAGGCCCAATACTGCCCCTGGGCTCCCAACACCCACCCAGTCAGACAGCCTCAACCCCAGCGTCCCCTCCGTCCCTCGTTTAACCGCAAACCCAGCCCAACCCCTTCTGCTCCCCAGAAGATCCTCAGTTCCCAGCTTACCCACCAGACCACAAGCTCCTATCCACACACAGCTCTCAGCTTCTGCTCACCCCTCCACCTGGTCCAGCATCCCCACAGCCTCGTTAGCACCCACCCATCAACTTAGACGCCTTCCAGCACTTACCCAACCTCCTAGCCCAGACACCCCGCCTGGGTCCAGGACCCAACCACCTACACCCCGACTGCCCTGTGTCATTCACCCACCCACCACAGAGAGGCGAGGTCTGTGACACTCCCAATCCCCCCCGCCCCACTGCTCACAATGGCCAGTGTCGACCACACCTTGAGGCTTACGGTCACATGCAAATAACTAGTGGAAGTACAAACTTGCTCCCTCTCTAATTTGCATGCCACATCCCATGTGGAGCTGCACAAACCTGGGCAGCTACGCCCAGTGCATGGCTGTGCGGGGGCTGCTCAGCACAGAAGAGCTTGCAAAAGGAGCTAGTCTTCAAAGAGATGGAGCCAAGGCCCTGCCGTTGCCATCTATCCCCCCCACTGCAACCTGCACCAACCGCTGCAGCAGGAGCAGCAACCTGTGCCGTTCTCATGGACTGAGCCGACTGTCCCCCCTTGCCCAAGGAGCAGCGCCTGAGGCTCTGCCAGGAATGAGTGTGCAGACACATGGCTGGCAAGCTACAGTCTGATGCACCCTGTGCATTCCTACTCACGTCAGGGCCGCTACCTGGCGGGCGAGCAAGCCACAGGCAGGGCTGTGTGTCAGGAGAAGCTGGTACCGTCAGTGAAACCATGTGTCAGAAGGTCTGAGGAGCAGAGGAAACATCCCTGAGAGATGGCACCCGAGGGAGTGGGCGGTTTTTCCATTTAAACGTGAATCTTTTCAGGAATTCATAGAAAAACCGGCTCCTGGAGCTTCTCTTGCTGTCGAAGGCTCGCTCCTGCCAGAAGGTATCTGACACTGCAGTGCAATCAGCTTAGCCACGAGGGGTAGAACAAGTTCTAATGGCTGGAAATTATAGCTAGAAGGAGACAAAGCTACCTCAGCTCATGGCAGACATTAGAAACCCCTGTGTGACAAAGCCGAGAAGCATCTAAACCCACGTTACGGTGTTTGGGCAGAACTTAACCACAGATGCACTGAGCAGAAGCCTGCAGCTTGGCCCCAAAAGAGCTGCACCCTCCTGAAGGCTGTGTAGACTCCACTCTCCAGACGGTCTTGCCAAGCCATTCGAGCAGGTCTGTGGTGACATTCCCACAAACAGAGCCTCACTACGGACAGCCACCAACGCACGCCTGGCAACCAACAATCCTCGTGACCCCCCGCCTCTTACCTGTGAGCTGCAGCTACCGATTTATTTCTTTGAAGCTGCAGTTAATACCCAGGCATTAATGTTGTGGTCGCTGAACGGGAACCTGTGGGGAAGAAGAAAGACGCGAGTCAAAATGGAGCTACCTAGATTTCCTTTGGATCAGAAAACAACACATTAGTGAGCATGCCCAGACGCACACACGCTACCAACACGGATACTTCAGTCACTCCCATGCCTTCCCGCTCCCTTTCCTCACTACCGCGCTACCAGCTTTTTTTCCCCCACTCTGGTGTTTCCACACTCCCTTCTCTCACCTAGCTCCACCCTTCCCTCCGTTCTCCCTGCCCCCTTCCCTGCATGCTCACCATGTGGGCATGGACCTCAGAACACCCTACTTAGCACTGAACTTCCGAAGCTCCCCGCACGCAGAGGTGACAGGAAGTGGGCGCCCTGAGGTGCAGCTCCAGCAAGCGCTGGCTGAGCTGCGGCAGAAGCCAGCAGGGAGCGAGTTAAAGAGATGGCAGGGCCCCGGGGTTGCAATAGGACAGCCCCCGTAAGAAACGTGAAGTGACTTTCACGGCTTCCAGCACAAGAACTGAATCAGGCGCATCACGTTCACTGAGCCCCTACGTTTAACGTTCTGGTCCTGCAGAGTCACTACTCAACAGGTTGGGCTCTGCCCCGTTTGCGCTGAAATAACGCCGCCGAACGGCGCCACATGCCCCCGGGTTCTGTGGACATTTCAAGGAATTTTATTTCTGACTCAAAGGGATGGGAGGGAACCTTTGAAACAGTCGTTCCCATCAGGCCGGCAGCAGCGGTCGCCCTGTGCGAGGGGGCTCTCGCTACCCATGGCGCCAGACGCAGCCCGTGGCAGGTACACAAGCTGCAGTGGAACTGGTGCTGCAGACGGTGCTGCCGCCTCTCCGAGGTGCACGCCTGCAATGGGGCCGGCACCCCTTCACTGAGGGGTTCAAATGGGCTGCTGGGCAGACGGGCTGCCAGGGCGAGAGGCAGACTGGATATGGCCCACTGAACCGACGCCAGCTGGACAGCAAGCGGAGGGGCCAGTATAAAGCCAGGGAGGGAGAGTCGGCCGGGACTCTCAGTCACTCGCAGGGTTGGGACAGAGGAGAGGGAATAAGCCGAGGGGAAATCAACTGCAAGGCTGAGACCGCAGGGCCCTGAGCCTCTGACTGCAGAATCTCAGAAGATACATGCACCCAGGTCCCAGTGATTCTGGGCAAGTACATCTGCCGGGCTAATCGGAGGTGGGAAGCTGGTGTTAGCTGATGGCCGAGGGAAGGGTGGGCTTGGCTCCAGAGGTTCAGTTAGGAGGGAGGTTGTGGGGAAGTCCAGCAGATGAGGAAGATCCAGGCTTCTCAGAGGGAGAGGGACTCCCCATAAGCTGAGCTCCCCATAAGCTTGGGTGGCCCCCCAGGAGAGGTTCAAATGCCACCCGGCTGATTAGCAAGGCATCCACAGCACACACAGCTGTCAGCCTGTGTTTCTACTGGTGGTGCACATGTGCACATGCCTCAGTGTATAGAATAAAATTTATTCTGCACGTGGATGGAAAAATGAAAGGGAAAATTGGTCAGAGAGCTGTGTTCTGTGGCTCACTGCAGTGAATTTCCCCTCAGCATTCCCAGGGGTGTTTACAACCAGGCCATTATTTAAGACAAGGTGGGCTAAATCTGGCGAGACAACGTGTCCGCCATCACGAAAATGTGCCGATGGCGACAGTCTTCCAAAGCCTGCTCAGAGCCGTTGAATGCAGTTCTAAGGAACCCACAGCCTGGTTCCAGGAATAAAAGCAGCAAGAGGAAGCCTCTGACAGCTGCCATTATGCAGTGTCAATGAAAGCGCCTTCAGACAGGCTCTGCATACTGTTGCTGCATACTGAACCTGCCATGCAGGGTCACGTCAGGGGCTTCAGGCCCCAGCACAGCGTGGGCTAGTTCGAGCCGCTATAACACTGTCGTATCAACCCCAACGTCCAGACTCTCTAGAAGGGGAGCAAATGCGGCGAGAGAAATGAGTGTGAAGCCAGCTGGGTGAGGCAGGCTGCACATGTGCATGGAGACGAGAGAGAGGAGGTGGCACGGGGAGAATCTTTGGCAGAAATTAATGACGACTGTAAAAAGCCGAGCTTGAACCGCACCTTTTGTGTGAGGGTTCCTAAGCCCTTTTTAATCATTAAATAATTCTTACAAAAGACCCACGAGGTGGGCAGGTAACATTATCCCTGTTTTACAGATGGCAACACTGAGGCATGGAGTCCCAACGTCACTGTGCCAGAACAAAAACAGAGCCCAGAATGTTGGAACCCAGGTCCTATGCACCGTCTACAGCTCTGTGCGTCCTCCCAGACCTTTCTGAAACGACACACTGCCGTGGACATTTTCCTGGCTCATTTAAACTCATTTCGCTCTTGTATGGGCGAAGGAAGAACTACAAAGCCAATTCTTATTACTGTACAAGGATTTAATGATATTGGACATCTTAAGGTTTCTTCATAATTCTTCAAGTCATTTTCTCTACTATCTATGCCACTGAAAATAGCACGATTAAATAACATACTGGAAATTGAAATCTGACCCCCTCATTACTGGCTTTCTTCAATTGTGCGCACACATAAAACCACAATACATATGTTTCTTACAAACTTTCTGATACTATAGGGCTGAATATAAGCATTGGGATTGTTCGCACAAATGGATGTAAAATAAAAAATCTAAAGCATTTGTTTTGAAGGAAGAAAACTGCATAGAAAAAATAACCTCTAATTCGGAGCAAAGAAAAACCTGTTGAGTTTTGAGGCTTTCAGCTGCCTCTTAAGAACATGTCCCAGCAAATTTAACAGGGATGAAACCAATAAGGGTCTATAAAAAACTTTATAGACTTCTATAAAAAGAACTTCAAAAATCCATAGGATTTACTGGAGAATGAGATCCTTTTTGTAGGTTTTTTTTTAATTGCCTATGGAATTCTACAATATGGCTATATTTCTCTTAAATTCTATCAGATATGTCACAAACATTAGAAAAGTTACCATTCACTAAAATGTGTCTAACCGCCTTCTTGAGAATTAATTAGCGGATAGTCAAATTTCTGTAGTGTTCTACACCTGTCAACATTCCTTCCCACAATGCCTCTGTCCTTAGAGAGCTAGAAGTGTTCATAAAGAGACAGCAAAAGCTCACTGTAAGCAAAGTGCCTATTGTAAGCAGACAAAAGTGCATTGAATATAATGTGATAGAAATGTAGCCGTGTTAGTCTGGGGTAGCTGAAGCAAAATGCAGGACAATGTAGCACTTTAAAGACTAACAAGATGGTTTATTAGATGATGAGCTTTCGTGGGCCAGACCCACTTCCTCAGATCAAATAGTGGAAGAAAATAGTCACAACCATATATACCAAAGGATACAATTAAAAAAAATGTGTGTTCATTTTTTTTAAATTGTATCCTTTGGTATATATGGTTGTGACTATTTTCTTCCACTATTTGATCTGAGGAAGTGGGTCTGGCCCACGAAAGCTCATCATCTAATAAACCATCTTGTTAGTCTTTAAAGTGCTACATTGTCCTGCATTTTGAATATAATGTGTAATCGAAGATGTACATTTTCACCTCCTGCACGAGAATTGCAGTTTCTGTAAAGCTCCAGACCTCATTTTAATCCAATGCCCTTGTTTCTCAAATAAATTGTGTCATCTAAAGTTAATACCTAGCCCTTTCCATGTTTTGTTTGCCTTTTGAATCTCAGGTTCATATTACTTGCAGGAGAGAATTATGTGGGAAAAAATTCGACTCTCCCAGTTGATTTAAAGTTCTGTACGTGTTCTGCTTATGCTGGTAAAAATCTGTGTTTCTATCAGGGTGATTAAGACCCAACCATCACCAGAGTGTGGGAGAACCTGGCGTAAATCGCAAACTCAGCGATAGGCACAGATGTACCAGTCTGCACATGGACTTACATTTCTGTGTGTGTGCAGCGTGTGTAAGATCAGCAATGAGACTGCAAGCTAGAAACCAGCCAGTGTCGCAGAAGCAAGGCTGTCTTGTAATGTTGTGAGGGAGACAGTGCCTCCTGAATAAACTTTCCAACGTAGCAAACAGCAATAGAACTTTGTAAAGCCCTTGAAGTGAAATTGTGCAGTAGCCGTAACAGCACAGTCAGTGACACCTTAGGGTTACCTGGCACCTTCCATCTGGTGCTCTGAGAGCAGTTTTACAAACATGACACGGTTTGGCAGCAGAGCTCAACCAGGACGTGGCCTTTTTTAGAATTGCAGGACAAAGGTCTCCACTGAGAGACCATCGAATGGATAAGCGATTTGCCTAAGATTATGCGCCAAATCAGGGGTAGGAAAGGAAGGGAACCAAGGAGTTCCCTTGCTCTAACCATCAGACTATATTGCCAACCCAGGGAAGGAGCAAAATCCAAGTGTGCAAAATCCATTTGCCACGGCTCACCACACAGCAGTGTCTTGTACAAAGCACTAAAACCAAAATGCTCTCCCAGACAAACTCCTCAGCTCAACCCTGAGCGAATGAAGAATGCCTGGCCCAGTTACGCACACTTCATGACAGTGCCCTGCCAGTAAGGTGTGAAAATGGCAATTTATTTTCTTTTTAATTACTGCCACGGCCATTTATCCATATCCCCAATTGTGGTAACCCCCCTGGGATACTGAGAGGGACTGGAAGCCTCCTAAAGGAAGAATGCAGCCTCTTGTTGGACTTCCTCTGGAGACCCTGCCTGCTAATAACCTCACCCAGCTCTCCATTAATGTGTGCAAAGGAATGTGTGACCAGCCTCTCACTGATACGCACTAGTGCTTTGCACTTTGTGCCTCTCCACTTTCCAGAAAGAAAGCAGCCAAAAATCTATCACGCCACCCTTCCCCCACGCTGCATCACTTGTGTGCTAGACACAGCCAGGTAACCACTCTGCAGGGACTGAAAACATCCAACCTGGAGACATTTTTAGTTGCTCAAAGCTCCCTGTTTGTGTTTTGTTTCCTTAGAACATAAGAACAGCCGTCCTGGGTCAGACCAAAGGTCCATCTAGCCCAGTAGCCTGTCTGCCGACAGTG